CCTAAACCCTAAACCCTAAATAGGGTGTAGGTGAGCTTGGGGCAGTGGGGATATGGACTTCAGGGCGGAAGCTGTCCGCCCAGAGTTACTGATGCACCTTGATATCGGTTTAGGGTTCAGGGTTTAGGGTTTAGGGTTTCGGGATTATACCTGTTTCCACGCTGCGGCAGGCGAGGGCGTCATGCGATATGAGTGAATGGCTGCATGTCTAAGTCCAGGTTTGCCTCTCCCAAGGTCCCCCAGGAGCCTAGCTTACAAAACCTCCTTGACTATGCCTACTCCTAGTCCCGAGATCATCGTGCCACCATATGCCCCCAGAACCCTATTCTTGATTTTCAGGCTTCCCATATTCGCCCTCCCCACAACCAAGTAAAGCCCGATAAAGTTTCCCCGTCATACTACGTAGGCACTTCCGGTTTCCCAGAAGTTGTTCTCGGCCAAGACTGCGAGACAAGAGGCCGAGGCCCGTCTTCACGCGATTTTTGAGACCTGCATTTTGGGTTTTTTAAGGTTTAGGCTTCTCGGGTTTAGGGTTTAGGATAGCATTGAAGGATTTTCGGGTGTAAGGTTCAGGATTTTGAGGGCTTCGGCGAATTTGAGGTATTCTAGGGCTATGCTGGACTTTATGCGATTTTTTTCGGCTGAGGGCTGTTTAGGACTTTTGGGATTTTGTGCTTTTGCGTGTGCCCAGTGGAGGCTTCGGGTGTTGACATCTGAGACCCGAAGCTGGCTCTAAACCTTTTTTTAGTGCTGGGCCGGGATAGCTGGAGCTTTATGGAGTGCTTAGGGCCGAGGGGTTTAGGATGTAGGGCTTGGGATCTCAATGGGGTTTCATGGATCTTATGATTATGCCTCACTGTCTCCGTCTCATTCACAAAAATGAACGGCGAACTGCCTCCTCGCTTGGCAAGGTCCACTGCGGTGGAATAGCGCTTCAGCTCGTGTGCCTCTCAATGTACAATGCAGTTGCATGAGCACCATATGGGGCTTTCCGAAAATAGGGACCCCCCCTAAATCCTAAACCCTAAACCCTAAACCCTAAACCCCAACCCCTAAACCCTAAACCCTAAACCCTAAACCCTATATAATGCTCTAAATAGTAGGTTCCGGGTTTCGGACCCTGCCTCTCCTCCAAAGGCCACCTTGGCGGCCGCATGGCCCAGACTCTAGAGTTGCCATAACATCTGTTTAGGGCTTCGGGCTTAAGCTTTAGATTTTAGGGTTTAGGGTTTAAGGTTTAGGGTTTAGGGTTTAGGGTTTCGGGTTTAAGTTTAAGGTTCAGGCTTTAGGGTCTAGGGGTGGCTTTTATCAGCCCCCCTTTCTACCAGAGCATCCTATGCGACTTATGCTTCAAGTTCAGGGACTGGGGTGTAGGTTTGTTCAGGGTTTTGGATGTAGGTTTAGGTTAGGTGCGAACGGTTGAGTTGAGGGTTTAGCGTTTAGGGGAAATTCAGCCCTGCACCTCGCTTGAACTGACCTTAGCACGTTGATCAAGGTTGGGGCACTGAGCCAGGAGTTTAACCTAGCCCGTGCGAGGAAGTAAACCCTGAAACCCTAAACCTTGAACCTAGACCCTAAACCCTGAAACCCCAAACCTTGAACCTAGACCCTGAACCCTAAACCCTAAACAACTCCTCCCCTCGAAGCCCTCACCCAAGCCTGCGTCCAGAAATCCCAATTGCCAGAACCCGAGGATCCTTCAAGTACAGGGGCCTTAAAAATTAGAAGAGGGTGTTTTTGGGGTTCCTTTAGAGGGTTCCTTAAAGGGTGCTATAAGGGCTACTATAAGGGTGTAGGGTGTAGGGGAATAGGGTTCCTTGGGGGTTCCTTTAGAGGGTACCTTAATGGGTTCTATACGGGCTACTATAAGGGTTTAGGGTGTGAGGGCCCTAATCATTAGAAGAGGGTTCCTTGGGGTTCCTTTCGAGGGTTCCTTAAAGGGTTCTATAAGGGCTACTATAAGGATTCTTAAAGTAAGGGCCTTAATAATTCGAAGAATGTTTTGGGGTTCCTTTAAAGGGTTCCTTTTCGGGTTCTATAAGGGCTTCTGTAAGGGTGTAGGGCGTAGGGGAATAGGGTTCTTTGGGGGTTCCTTTAGAGGATTCCTTGAAAGGTTCTATAAGGGCTACGGGTTTAGGGTGTAGGGGCCTTAAAAAAAAGATGGTTTTGGTTATACTAACTATAAGGGTTCTTAATGTAGGGGCCTTAATGGTTAGAAGAGGATGTTGGGCTCCTTTATAGTATACTTATGATAAGGAACCCCCAAAATAGTATAGGCAAGTATTAAGGCCCTCCGTTACACCGAAGACCCCACACCCGAATGACCCAGATTATCCAAGCCTTCTTTTCTCCATCTGGACTTGTACAATCGCCAGAAAATTATTTAGGCTTTTCGTTCAACGTCCCTTTTCCGTCTCGCATGATCCGGGAAGCGGTTTTCCGCTTTGCGTACAAGGGCAGCTGTTTAGAACCCTGGAAAGAAGAGCACCTTCGATTCAGGGTTCAGGGCTTAGGGTTTAGCCACTCGCAACTGGGGCAATGCGGGCGAGGTTGGTTTAGGGCTTAGAGTTTCGGGTTTGGGGATTGAGGAATCAGAGGGGACGTGCAGATCTGCAACACACTACACGTCCCACTTCTCAGGCGACATCCAAAGAATGGATGAGCCCGGAAGGCCCTCAGCTCCTGGCTTCTTGTTAGGGAACTATAGTTTAAGATACCATAACAGGGACTTGTAGTAAATAATATGGTTTCTCTGTTCTGGTAACTTAAATTAAAATCCATAACAGGAACTCGGGCTCACATGCTCACCATCTCCATCTTGTCTTGCACTTGGTTGTCCTGTCTCTCCTCCTCCACAGCGTCGGAGTCTACGGAGTCTGGATTTCCGGCCGCCTGCTTGCCGAAGAGAGTCCGCTGCTCGAAAACAACGGCGATGTCGCTTTGCGGAAAGCGCTTCACAAAGACAGCCGCAAAGACCAGCGCCGTCATGGACAGAAAGCCGCCCATACTCGTGAAGAGATCAAAAAACTGAGGAAAGACACCTGGGCTGCTCTTGTAGGGGCCTTTAACACGAACAATAAGAAGAAGAACAATAATGATGATAATGACAATCACAATAAAAAATAATAATAACAATAAGAATAATAGAGATACTGATAGTATTTTATAGCAACAGTAGTAGTCGTAGTAGTAGTCGTCGTCGTCGTAGTAGTAGTAGTAGTAGCTGCAATTACAACCTAATAACACTAATAAGCCAATGCTCCTGCTGAAGACTATGCTATACATAAAAAGCTTAAGAAAACAAAAATAGCCATCTTCCGGAGCGGCCTAGAAACCACCGGATCCTTAAAGAGGATGGTTGCAGCCACCGGCTTTCCAAGGCTTGGCGGGGAGCCCGTGAAGTGCCTCCAGGTGCAAGGCGCTTCTCCGCCAGACTCCCGGACCTACGTTTGTTTGCCAGTAGCCCCTTAACAACATACTACTGTTTGGTTTTTTAACTAAAGGAACCCAAAATGAAAAAGGGCAAAAGCCCAAACCCTCTAAACCCTAAACCCTAAACCGTAAACCCTAAACCCTAAACAGGAGCCTAGGGACAGTTACGGAAGTCGTCAGGATCTGACTGGCCTGGGAGGTGAAGCCAGAACTCCACCCGTGCTTGGCCACCGAATAGCCTGGGTTGGTTTTTAAAGAATTTAATTCAAGTCACCATAATTAGAAACCTTATTTTTGATTTTTAAGGAACTTAATTCAAGTCACCCTAATAAAGAAACCTGATTTTTGCACTATGGTAACTCAAGTCAAGCTCCTTAACAAGAACCCAGTAGCTCACCATGGGATACTCATCGCTCCGAAGCTCGGTCACGTAGCGCCAGCCCGTCTCGCTGTTGAGCATAAGCCAGTCGATCGTGAAAGGCAGAGGTTGCGTGCAAATGCTGACCGTGGACGGGATCCGGAGGTCTGCATTCAAAAGATCCACAACTACGCAGTTCAGTTCAAAGCCAGAGAATGGGATGATTTGCCTCTTCACCTGAGAGACCAGCTGGGTGGACTTCGCACTAAGCGGCTGCTGCTCCAAAAGCCATAGCAAGTCTTCCGCGCCTGTGTACGTCTCCGGGATTCCGATCCCAATGCTGTCAATTGCTCGCCCGGAGGTTGGTGGATTCGGGTGTGCGCAGACGGCCCACTCACCAAAGTGCTTCAGGGTCTCTGTACTCACATCCACAGGGGGATCTTCAGCAGAGCTGATGATTTCTAAGCTTCGCTGGGCCAGATAGACAAGAACGCAGCCGATCATGAAGAATTGGAGTGCGCAGGCACACCGCCTGTATTCCTTCACTACTCGGGTGTAGTCCATGGCGGAAATTTAAACCCTAAACCCTTTTGACACCTGGACTACGCATATGCCAGGAACCGAGGCGCCGACTGCGCTGTAAACCCTAAACCCTAAGTAAGGCCCGGAAGTCCGTAGCCTATTCAAGTTGGACACTTTGGACTTGGGTTCAGGGTTTGCGCTCTGGGTTTAGGTATTTATATAGAGCTTCGGGTAGGGATTCTGCGAGAATCACTGCTTACCTAAACAACCCTCACACACGCATGTCGCAGACTCTTATGTTAGCAGTTTACGTGCACTTCGAATTTTATTGGCCGACGGCTAATGCACCCCAGGTCTTGACCGTCATTTGCGGGAGTCGTTTGTACTTGCATGGTTGTCACTTGGAACTGTTCTGGCTTGAGTAAAAATACCTGCGTGCAACTGTCTAGAACGCTTTAACTTCCGCGCAGAAAGTAGGTCGAAAGCTTTGGTTCAGAGAAAAATTCAGGATCATAGGGTTGAGGGTTATACAAACTTAACCCTAAACCCCAAACCCCTAAACCCTAAACCCTAAACCAATTTAAGGCTGAAGGTGAACGAGGTGGATCCTCCTTCCGGAATCGCCTCAGACTAGACCAGCTCAGCCCCACAACGGTTTAGGGTTTAGGGTTTAGGGTTTAATAACCGACTTGTGACTTGGCGACCTATATGGATAGTTCTCTAGATCAGGACCCCCTTTAGGGTCCTTTCGTAAGGGTGCCGTAATGTCTTGGGACCCTGAAGTGGATAACTCTCCATATAGATCTTGCAGCTTCTGCATTGAGGATCTCCGCCCGATAGAGGAGCCGGGTCGCCAACCACAGTCGGACAAAACCGCAAACGGAGGGCTTTTTGACACTCACACTCGGACTGGCCCGTAAACCCTCTAAACCCTAAACCAGGTCTGTAGCGATACTGGTCCAACGAGGAAACTGCAAATACTGCAGCATATGTCACTGAGTACCATGTTGTCAGGGAGGGCTCACGACAAGACGACGACAGATAAGCAACCATACTCACTAGCCCATCTGACAACAGACCTCCACCGCAGCAAACGATCTACACCCAAAGGACCCAGAGGGCTTAGGGTTGAGGGCTCAACGACAGATGCTCATCACCGTCGCATCAGCCCAGGAACGACCCCCTTGCATGAGCACGCCTAAGGTCTGGCATGCCCTTCCCCAACATGCGTGCCGAGTCACAACTGTCCGAATCGCATACAGCACCTGGCTACCGGCTGTGCTGGAGCAGTACGTAGGCACGCAACATCGCAACGGAAGCACCGGCTGGCCGACTACGTAGCTCACTGCTCCATGCTGAAAACGGAGAGTCTGCGGCAGGATGCCGTCTGGAAACGGCCAGTCTGACATGGCGTTGTAAAGAGCACATTTCTGCTTGCGGCGCGAGTGCAGGGAGGGTAATGTAGGGGCCTTAAAAAATAGAATAAGGTTTTTGGGGCAGTGTACTTTAACTACCACGAATAACCCCCAGAATAATATAGGTAACTGTTAAGGCCCCTATATTACGTCAAGCAAGGAAGCAAAAGCATGGCGCCACCTCATCCGCCAACGCCGCGGCCTTCTCGTAGTGGCCCTGCACCTCACGCCTGCGATGCGAACTCCGAAGGGTACTTGGAGGTTCATGAACAGTTATAAGTCGGGTTATAAGTCCCCTAAGTAGGGTTATACATATAGTTACCTCACTTATAACCCTACTTATAACTACCCCTAAACCCTAAACCCTAAAGAGCCCGTAAAGGAACCCCACTTATAACTACATAGGTACCCTACTTGTAAGCCTATTTATAAGTACCCTAAACCCTAAACCCTGACCCCTAAACCCTAACCCAAAACCCTAAACCCAAAACCCTAAACCCAAAACCGTAAACCCTACTTATAACTACCCGTGAACCTCCAAGTAAGGCCTGAAAAGCCAGGCTCTTGGGCCCTCGACCCATCCTACGGTTGATGATAATAAATCCTGCATGACCTTACTTGGAGGGTCGGGGGACTTCGTAAGTGGGTAATAAGTAGACGTATAAGTACCTTAAAACGGCTCCTTATTGGGGTTATGATACTTATAATACTCTATAAAGTAACTACTTACTAAGTCCCCCGACCCTTCAAGTAAGGACTCGAAACTGTGGGAATTATGGAACTTATGGCAGATTCCTTCTTATGGGTAATGCAGGATGTATATCATCAGCCGTATCCCTGTCAGCTGCCAAATCCGTCGTCGCAAAAGCTTAAAGCCTTCTCCGCTCAGCAGGCTTAGCATGCAAAAAGCACAAGGAAGTTAGACCTTTTAGGGTTTAGGGTATGGGGACTTGCAACATCTGCGGCGTACAATGACCTCACGTGGCGTTGGGTTGAGGCATACATTTCGTAAGCCGTCGATGCAACACCTACTACATCAAAGGGCCATGCATCGATACAAAGAGGATAAGCCTCAGAAAAGCACAACAGTTGTATCAAGAACAAGACCCCAGAACACATGTCAGACCTGTGGAATGAAGCTGGCAAGAAACGTCAACCCTGAACTTGCCAAAGCCCAAGTCCCAACAATAAACCCTCAACCCTGGCTCTTAAACCCTGAGCCCTTACTATAACTTACAAGTATTAAGGTTTAGGGTTTAGGGTTTAGGGGTCCGGGTAATATTGGAGTTTGAGATTTGCCTACTTGGAGGGTCGGGGGACTTAGTAACTCGTTATTTTATAGAGTCATAAGTATCATAACCCCAATTAGGATCCCCATTAGGGTGCTTATAAGTCTACTTATTACCCACTTACTAAGTCCCCTGACCCTCCAAGTAAGCCCTGAACCCTGGACTTCCAACGTCCGAACCCCGCATCTCCTGGCGTCCAAAACGGCACTGGACATGACGACGCCGCCAACCGCCATGAGCGGCAGCGTGACCAACCTGAGCGGGAGCGCTCGTTTAGGGTTGTAGGGCTTCGGGTTTATAGGGCTTAAGTCGTAGGGTTTAGGGTTGAGGGTTTAGGGTCTCCAGAAAGGTCTCGATGCGGGTTACCATGAGTTGGGCAGGGGTTGCTGGTAGGGCTGCTAGTGGTTCTTTTAGAATTCAGGGCACCGATCCTACATGGGGCCGCATCAAGCGTTTTGCAACGGTTCTTCCAAGGGCTCGTTGTGGATCTTAGAAGAGGTACTACAAGAAACGCCACAGAAGGGTTCCAAAGAAGTTGCTAGAAGGGAACTTCCGAACGGAGAAATCAAGGGCTCCAGGGCTGTAGGCTTGCCCGTGGCATCGTCATATTCGACCGATCATGCATGCCTCCAGGTTGCAGGGTTACCTGAAACTTGGGACGCAAGGAGTCGCAATCTCTGTCGCAAAGTCGCTATCCCATGCCTCAAGCCTCTAGATGCCAAGGAGCATCAGCAGCGCAATCTCCCATGACCTTCGCTCACCATTGACGTCTTCGGCCAGCAAGCACTGAAAAATATGATAAACCTGTCTTTCTCAGCACTAAATACAAAGCCCTAAACCTCGGCATCTGAGGAGGGGACAGAAAGAAACCAATTCCCAGCCCGATGCACACCCCGGCGAAGGCCATGACGCTGACGCCGAGTTTCGATCCGAAACCTCGGCAGGGCTTTGGGTTTAGGGTTTGGGGCTTATAAGGTTTAAGGCTTCGGGTTTTAAACTTTGTGCTTACCCACCACGAACCGAAAAATCCTACCCACCCCGGGTCGCTTGCGAACCATTTCATGCTTTGGCCTGCGGCTCTGGCACTTTCGTGTTGAATCCGTATGACATTGTATGACACAGCAGCAGGACCAAGAAAATGTTTCGCTCGCAGACCAAGATGCCTTCGGCGAACGTTTCCAGATCCGCGCTCATCTCCCCTGCTGGTTGAGGGCTTGCTGGTTGAGAGCCGTACGGTTCAGGAGACTCGCGCCCGCTTCAAATTATAAGAGTAAACCGAAAATCTAAATACGACCTAAAGCTTAAACAAACTTAAAGTACTCCCTAAACCCTTTTTCAGCACGGACTGAGGTGCCGGTCAGCGCCCATGCCCTAAACCCTAAACCCTATTATTCTCAGCCAGTCGGTTTTGGAGACAGGAAAGACCCGCCTGGAAGCGCTCCCGGCGAGTGGGTGTCAAACCAGCCGACGTCCCGATGCAACATCGCGTCGAAATACCTAGAAAGTGTACGATTAGGGTTTAGGGTTTAGGGTTTAGGGTTTGGGGATTCGGGTTTAGGGTTTGGAGGCATCTTGGCTTCAATCTGCAGGTTGAATTTGGGATCCACGGGCCGACCTGTAAATACGTTTGCTGTCATACGTTTCAGGCTCCGGGGTTTGGGTCTCGGGGTTTAGGCTTCGATTTTGACATGGTTTTGGATTTCGGCCCCCTAAACCCTAAACCCTTTTGCAACGGCCTTGTCAGATCTCGACCGGACTGATAGCCCACAGCAATGACTTCAGATAATGCTCTCTGCACAAACCCTGAACCCTAAACCCTAAACCCTAAGCCTAAACCCAAACCTTAAACCCTAAACCCGACGAGATTGACTTCACTTGTCCGAAAGTTCTCGGAATTTCTCCTGGCACCATGCCTTGCAGCACACCAAGGTTCTATACATCGCTTCAGAGCTGTGAGGGTTTCGAGCATGGGGTTTAGGGTCTAAAGGGCTTAGGGTTTTTTGGGTTCTGGATTTTGGGTTAGGGTTTGTAATGACGATGGATCTGGCACCAATTTTAATCTGCCAGTGACGCCGGACGCAGTATCTTGCGTCGTTGACCCCGCGGCCACCTACATAGTCAGCGTAAGGTGTGCGCGGAAGCATACAGGGCAATCTTTCAGAAGGGCTTCCCTCGCGCAACTGTTTAAGGAGGCCTCGTGATAAAACATGTGCATGGCCGAGAGACAGCGTTCGCATCTTCGCCAGCTGGCTGTCCACAAACCTTGTTACAATTTTCTCTGTTTAGCCTTTATGCCTAAACCCTAAACCCTAAAACCTAAACCCTATAGCTACTGCGCTTTCTGTTTGGGGCTTAACGGAGAAGTACAGCAGCCTCCCTCAAGCCGGACTGTGCCCGCGCTTGCTGTGTGCAGAGGCCCAAGAAGCCATGGAAGGTTTGGGGTTTAGGGTTTAGGGCTTGCTGTCTGCCAGAGGCCCGAGAAACCATGGAAACGCGAAGCCCTGCAGAGCAGCTGCGCCGCAAACGCAGCATCCAATCCTCAGCGGCTGTGGTAATTGCTTAATGTAGGGGCCTTCACACTTAGAAGGAGTTCCTTTAAAGGGTGCCTTGAAGGGTTCTATAAGGGCTACTATAAGGGTTTAGGGTTTAGGGGCCTTAACACTTTCAATAGGGTTTTGGGGGTTCCGTATGATAGTTGATTAGAGTATATTTTATAATATCCACCAAAATCCTTTTCTAATTTTTAAGGCCCCTATATTAGCCTCCGCCTCGGCGGTGCAGCTAACCAAGCAAATCCGCAAAATGTCATCACTTGCCGAAGAATCGAAATTGTTGGTTCAGCAACCAGGTCCTGCACAGCCTAGTTTAGCAGATGTAAAACACGACGCGGCCTCAAATCACACAGTCTCCAGCACTTCGCTAGGAGCACACCCGGCCGAGGTGCACAACAAACTTGAGAGCGATTTCGCCAACCTGGAGTCATTGAATGGGCACTTGCATTACCGCCACTGCTCAACAGGTAGGTTTATTAGAGCGAAGGACATGCACAGGTCACAACAAGAAGACGAGCATGGCCCACACTCAACGACACGGCTCATAGTTTGAGGCGCTAGCGCTTTCCATCATCTGGTCGTTGGCCGCGGCATGCAAGGCCTGCGACCCAGGAACCCAGGAACCCTAAACTGAACGTTGCAACTCTTTGGAGATGTCCACGCCCAGACCCAGAAGGCAAGATGCTGACTGCATCCCATTCCCTTCTCTGCCTGAAGCTGCTCTGTGGTGATGTTCTCGAAGGATTGGGCATCGAAATCGGCGGAAACCGATGTGCCAAGGCCATCGATCAAGTCTCCCCACCTGGAAGCGAGCACTTGTAGAACTCTGAACCCTGCCCGATCTAAGAAAGCCTCATGGCTCCTCATTATCCTTATTGTGGTACTTCTTGCTAGTAACTGCTAGTATTATTATTGATAGTGTTCCTGTCATCATAGTGTAGGGGCCTTGATACTTACAATGGGATTTTGGTGCCCATTATAAAAAGGAACCCCCCAAGATAGTATAGGTAATTATTCAGGCCCCTTTATTATATCCCAAAACCCTACTCTACTTATAAAGCCACATGTCCAGGTTGGAGACTTCGCTTCGAGAGTCTCCGGGCACTCAGCAGACCGGAAAGCCCGAATCTACTGAAAGAATTTACGGGTTTAGGGTTTAGGGTTTAGCGTGCAACCAGCGAACCTGACGGTTTAGGGTTTTGGGGAGACTAAACCCTAAACCCCGAAGACCGCAAACCCAGCCAAGTTGAATGCCGAGCAGCATGAGAATCATCCTCGGATTTTGCCAGCACGCTGAGTTGCTAGACATTTACACTGCAGATAACGTCTCTCCCCGAAATCCGGCAGAGAAAATAAAGATGTACGGAGTCTCGACTTCACGGAAGTTAAACCTGATTGCCAGAACTCACAACCCAAAACCTTTAAACCCTAAACCCTATAGATCCCACTGCCCAAACCCTGAACCCTAAGCCATAAACCCTAAACCCGAACTCGGAGAAATCCGACAAAGGTGCGCGGGTTGCCCGGCGCCGTGCGCAAACGCACCGAGAAATCCCAAAGCCTCGTTTCGATCAAACTTGGGGGTTTATAGGGTTACCCTTTACCCTAAACCCTAAACCCTACACCCTAAACCCTAGTTTAGGGATTAGAGATCAAACTGGGGTGTTTCGGTGCTCAAACATGGACAATCCAGGCGAGGCACGTGGTCTTAGGCCGGCTGAGTGAGGCTATTGCTGAAAAAAGCGAACGGATGCCCAAGAGTCAACCACATAAACTAAACCCTACGGTTTAGGGATTAGGGTTTAGGGTTTAGGGCCTGCTCAAGGGACATGATCCTTCCCAGGCCCTCAAAGTCCTGTATGCTCTGATGTCTAGTTCAAGACTTCAGGTCACCACGTGACCGCATGAGATCACACATCAGCCAAGGAGAAGTGCATAAACCACCAAACCCTAAACCCTAAGCCCTAAACCCTAAAGCCCTAAATAAACCCTTACGGTTTAGGGAAACTTTGGTGTGGTTGGGGCGACTTGGAGTTTCCAGGAGTCTTGCTGCATAGTTTTGTTGCAACTTGCCTGGCTGACTTTTAGGAGCTTGGCCCTGTAGGGTTTAGGGTTTAGGGTTTGGGGTTTAGGGTTTAGGGTTTAGGGTGTAGGGTTTAGGGTTTAGGGTTTAGGGTTTGGGGTTTAGGGTTTAGGGTTTTGTGTAGGGTTTAGGGTTTATGGT